TTGAGAGTTGGAGTTTGTGGTATGATGATGCCAACAGGACCACATCATCTGTAAATATCAGAGATGTAAACCTGAGGCCACCAAACCAGACTCGCTCTATCCCCTGGCCGGACCAAAAAATTCTGACCATAAAACTTATGAACAGAATCGATGACAACCTGCAACAGAGTTCAACAATCACCCTGAAGGGGTTCAACTTACTGTACTTGCAATGTGAATCAAACTCTCACACAACTTGCATAATGATTGAATGGCCCATAGCAACTGACTCCCAATTCCATACTCACAGGGTTCCCTGAGGAAAGACTTCTCCAAGTCTACTAAACACATGTAGACTCATTGGGCAAACTCCCATTGATCCCTTGAGGACCCTAGTAAGGGTAAAGAGTTGGTCCAGTGTTCCATGGCCAGGATGGAACCTGCATTGCTCATCCTGAAGCTGAGGTTTGACCATCCATTGGCCTCTCTTCTCCAGCATCCCTGAATAGACTAAACAGAGTGATGCCCCTGTAATTGGAACATATCCACTGATACCCCCACCCCTTTTTGAAGAGAGGAACTCCCACCCCAGTCTGCCAATTCAAGGACACTGCCCCAATGTCGATGCAGTGTTGCCAAGACATGTCAGCCAAGGCATCCCAGCAACATCCAGAGCCTTGAAGAACTCAGGGTGGATCTCATCCTCCCTCGAAACCCTGTTGCTGTGGAGCTTTTTAACTACCTTGTCAACCTCATTCCCTGCTATGGACAGACCAAACCCAAGTACCGTGACTCTGCTTCCTCCTTGGAAGACATGCTGGTGGGATTGAGATGGTCTGAGTAGTATTCTTTTTACCACCCAATGCCATTAGTGGTTGAGGTCAACAGCCCCCCCACCCCACACCCCCACCTCCACTATACACAGTAAAGTGCTGCTTTTCCCGCTTAACAAAAAAGGATGACTGTGATAAACATCCATCCATTCTTTATCTTTACCCACATCTTCCATTTTGGGTCGCAGGGGTTGCCAGTGCCCATGTCCAGCTATCACTGTGCGAGAGGCAGGGGGACACCCTGGACAGGTTGCAAGTCCATCACAGGGCCACAGAGACAAACAAACAAACATTCATTCATTCAATTCATTCAAGACAAACAAACATTCACTCTCTCACTCACACCTAGGGACAATTTATAGTTACCAATTAGCCCAACATGCATGTTTTTGGTCTGTGGGAGGAAACCCACGCACGCACGGAGAGAACATGCAGACTTCACCCAGAAAGGGCCCCTGACTGGGGTTTGCACCAGGGTAACCTGCTCACTGAGAGGCAGTAACTCTACCAACTGCGCCACCATGCTGCCCCTACAGTGATAAACAATAATTATTTTAAAAATGGTCAAAATTTGCCTAGCTTAAATTCTAAAATGTACTCTAGGAGATCATCAAAGTTCATGCTCAAACATCCAGGTACCAAATCCAATAATGGTCAGTGAGGTCATCTCGACAGTTTCTTCTTTTGTAGAAAGATGTTTCGCCCTCTATACGGAGGGCTTCATCAATCTGAGGAGTCCCAAGTAAACTGTTTCCCAACCAAGCAGTTTACTCCTTAAGTGGACCAACCAGTTTGCTGGAGATAAGATGGTTTCTGGGGGCTGTACTCTAGGAGAATTAATCCTAAATCCTAAATGTGGGAATGGCTGCCATGGTAGGTAAGAAGCAGGCTGAGGCAGGAAAGATGTAGGCTAGGGCTTTAACAGACTACTCGAGTAAATGACAGGTCTAAAACAGTTAAATCTGGTCCTCAAATTCAAAAAAACAAAACAAAGCAAAACAACAAAAAAATGTAGAAATGTTTCGTCTCTCATCCGAGAGACGAAACGGATGAAACATCATCATTCTCCCAGCAGACAAAGGAAGGTGCACAGTGATTTTGAACCAGAAAGACTATCATGAGAAAGTTATGACACTCCTTAGTGACTTAAACACTTATGAACCTCTGAAAAGAGATCCAGGAAGTGGTTACAAGAAGAAATTGATAGATTGCCTGAAAATTTTGGAGCAGGACAAGGCTATTGACTGTTTTCTGTACCACAGACTGTACCCAGGGGAGGCCACACCTAGTCTGTATGGTTTACCTAAAATCCACAAACAAGGTGTACCTTTAAGACCAATCGTTAGCATGATTAACTCTGTCACTTACAATGTTTCCAAATATCTGGCGTCTGTACTCATCACTTTAGTTGGCAGCTCAGAACACCACATACAGAACACCATGGACTTTGTGGATAAGGTGAGGGATGTCATCATGGAGACTGATGAATAATGGTCTCTTTTGATGTCACATCACTCTTTACGTGCATTCCTGTTGATGATGCAGTAGAGGTGGTCAGTTTAAAATTAAAATCAGACACCACTCTGAGCAGCAGGACCACGCTTTCCACAGAACAACTGTGTCAACTCTTGAAACTGTGCCTGCAGTCAACCTACTTCACATATGGGGAGCAATATTATAGGCAGAAACATGGGTGTGCTATGGGGTCTCCAGTTTCTCCTATTGTTGCCAACCTGTACATGGAGGAGGTAGAAAAGAGAGCCTTGACGTCCTTTTCAGGGACACCACCAAGTCATTGGTTCAGGTATGTTGACGACACCTGGGTTAAAATTAAATCTCCGGAAGTCCAACATTTTACTGACCACATCAACTCTGTGGATAAATACATCAAGTTCACACGAGAAGATGGAAAAAATGGCAAGTTGGCTTTCTTGGACTGTGAGGTCTCAGTCTCTGATAGAGGACATTTGCAAACTGAGGTGTACCGCAAACCCACCCACACAGACCAGTATTTGCAGTTTGACTCCCATCACCCTTTGAAGCACAAGTTAGGAGTTATCAGGACTCTGTATCACAGAGCAGACAGCGTCCCCACTAGCTCAGGAGCCAGGCAGAAGGAGAAATCCCACACAAGACAGGCTCTAGAGCAATGTGGATATCCTAACTGGGCTTTCCTAAAAGCAGAGAAGAAAGAATATATAATTATAATAATTTAGAATAATATCATTTTGTAGAATATATTTAGAATTTAATATTAGTTGTAGAATAGAAAAGACCCATGGAGCATGTGGAGGGGCATTAAGTGTATAACAGATTATAAAGGCAGGAGTGAACAATGCCCCAAAGACCCATCATTGCCTGATGCTCTCAACAAGTTCTATCCACACTTTGAAAACCCAAACAGACCACCCAGCGCCAGACTCACCCCACCACCAGATGAAGAGCTTTTCAGTGTGACCTCAGCAGAAGTAAGGAGTACTTTCAGGAGGATTAACCCTCACAAAGCAATCGGCTACCAGTAGAAGCAACCAAATGGATTCCTTCCAGCAGATGGACTGAGCGGAGAAGGCCCAGTCTTGGCAAACAGGTAGAAACATTGCATCAATAGTCTGGAAATATTTCACAAAAGATGAATCTTCCGGTTCAACTACCATAAGGAAACAGAAAATGAATCAACTTCCTGACTATTTGGAGCTCGTTGCAAACCGGTGTTATACCGTATATTTTGACCATAGGGGGCGGTGTTGCATGCACTGTTGCAGATCACAGAATATGGTGTAACACCGGGTCCAATCGACCAAACCAGAACCAGCTTCCTCTGACCTTGTTTCACAAACAAAAAGCAAAAAATATTCATCTCTAAACCTATAAAAACCTATAAATATATTAATCTCTAAAACTAAACCTAATGCGCAACACAGCTGGCGGTGATGCGGGGTGGTCATCCGCCCCACTGTTTTTAGTTTTGTTTTTGACATGCTGCATGTTATTTCTTTCACTTTTGCAGCTTAATAATAATAATAAATAATAGTGTTCGTTTTCCTGTGACTTATTTGCAGTATGATAAATGATAGGAGCATAATATACTCTCCCAATGTTTTGTTGAACTTTTTTTTGGTAAATAATAAATGACTTTTATTTTGCGGTTTTATTATTTTTTATTTTTTTCATCTTGAGATCCTATGACGTCATCAACTACTTGAGTTCTACTCGAGTTGTATTATGTTAATGTCGAGTTTTAAAATTATGTAGTCGTTCAACCCCTAATGTAGGCAGGGGTGAACAACAAAATAATGTCCACAACTTTGAATACTGTTTTGAACACTAAATTTAGATTTGATTTTCAAAGACTGGCCCCTCAAAATGCAGATGCACAACTTGCTGTGGGTTTGGTTGCAAACATTCAGAATTTATGAGTCTGCAACTGAAAATTTGCCAAGTTTTCTAACAATTTGGTTTCACCACCAACAGCCTAGTGAATTACTACCTTTACAAACAAACTTTGTTGGGTAACTTTTTTCCCCTCACTGTTCTTTGGGAAAATTGCCTTGTATTTAACCAGTTTATGATGCAAAACAACACAAACCTGAAAACATTCACAGGAATATAAAAAACACTATGGATTTTTACATAACATTACTTTTACAGTATATCAAAGTTTCACACAAAATGTGCTGCAACAAAGCATGGACAGTGTTCCTCATGACAGGTCTTCAGTGAAAATATTCACAGACATTTGAGCAAATAACCATCAAGAGTAACAGTGCAAATTTTCAACTTGAACCGTTAGAAAATTTTTAATGTTTGAGATAGCAAATTATATTTGGCAGGTAAACCATGTAATTTTGAGTGGTGAAATCACAATTTATGTTAGCTTGGGGGCAGTTGTGGCTGAGTGGTTAGAGCAGTCGTCCTCCAATGCAAGAGCTGGGAGTTCGATTCCCCAAGCAGTCACATGCTGAAGTGTGCCTGGGCAAGACACTGAACCCCTCATTGCCTCCGATGTATTTCCCATCGGTGTATGAATGTTATAAAGCACTGATTATTCTTTGCACAGAAATATTAAAGTGCTGTATGAATGGGTAAATGAAGCACAGACTGTGTTGTAAAGTGCTTTGAGTCTCTCGATCAGATAGAAAGGTGCTATATTACAGTCCATCTAAAGTTATATATTTATAATTTGTACAGGTGACGACGACGATGATGATGATGATGATGATGATGATGGTGCTTATCACAAAGGTTCTCTGTGCTCATACTGTGAATTCTGTGAGGTAAGCAACATTATTTCATGAGAAAATCATTATTTTAAAAACCCGGTGCGAATGCTAAGTTTTTTTTTGTTTGTTTGTTTTTTTCTTCTGTTCTGAATGACTGCTGAAATGTGCTGGGAAAAAATAAAACTGTGCTGAAAGAAAAAAGTAGCAAAAAAGAAAAGAAAAGTTGCCTAAAGTAATATAAATATACTAAAGTATAAAATAAAATATAATATAATATAAAAAGTATAATATAATATAAAAAATAAAGTATAATAATAATATAAGTATTAGCAACAAAAGTAGTCAAATGCTAGCTAAATATAGTCATCCCTCACTGTATCACGGGTTTAAAAAAAAAAAAATCTAATTCTTTATAGCGGAGTTTTTGCTATATACCGCGGGATTTTATGTATTGTATGCCACTACTGCTTGTGCAAGTGGAGGAGGAAGCGATCTCTCATCTCCTCTGCACTGTGCATGCATTCTCCTGCTACATCGTGCACAGCCGCATCATACCACTCTCAGAGTCTGTGCACTTCAGAGATCAGTCTGAAGGGCTTCCTCTGTCTGCTCAGCACCTGTCACTCTGGCTATGTGAGGCTGTTTCACAGGTGTATATTTCCTCTGGATCTCAGCCTCCAGAGGGGCTCAGAGCTCACTCCACCAGAGAAATCTCATCCTCCATGGCTCTGGAAGTGTATGGGGAGTGTCAGTGCAGGACATCTGCACAGCAGCTTCCTGAGCTTCTCTGTGATCATTCATTTGTTTTTATCTGCATGATGTCTCCAGCTTCTCCCTGACTCACTCTGTCCTCAGATTTTTGTCAGAGTGATGATGCAGATGTTTGAGTGAGCTCTCCATCCTGCCTGTTCGCACAGCAGCAGGGTTTGATGTTTCAGCCTTCAGTCTGATGCAGAGATTTTTTCTCTCTGCTGCTCACCGCATCTCAGGCGCACAGATTCAGTGGCGCATAATTACGAATGATTTGAAGGCTAAATATGGACTATTTCAAAGATAGTAAGCAGATATCTGTGTGATGTAGTCTATGTCTCACTGGGTCCATTCAGTACTGAATGGACCCAGTGAGACATAGACTACATCCTGCTTCACATTTAACACGCTAGTGATGGCCTTAAAGGGCAAAGCCTAGACAAAATAGAACGTTGGCTACATTACAGTAACCCCAAATTCTCTGAGTATAGGTGCAGCCCTTTAAGATCTGGTCCTCACTGGCTCCTAAATGGTTGAGGAAAATGTCATTTGGGAGTCTATTCCCAGTCTCAGTGTAATTTATATAGGGGTGGGGCCCACACAACAGGTGGGAATGGAATGAAAATTTCAGTTGTGTGCAAAGGGTAAACCTAAGATTGGGGAAGGTTTGTAGGAGTGTGGGAAGAGTTTATAAAGCCTTAGGTTGTTTTCACACCTGATAGTCCGGTAGACTCGGTTCGGTTCGGGACCAATATTCATAACATTTTGTTTACATTTGAGCTGGTGCGTGTGCATTCACACTGCGCTGTGCAGTTGAGGCAACCTGTTGAACCAACCTATTCCCCTGCTCACCTGTGGGGGCGCTGCACCAAGAACTACTGAAAGAAACAACACAAAAACCTCTGAAGACATGCTTCTTCTTCTGGAAATAAAAATAAAAACGAAGTGGCATCAAGTTTTAACAGTTTTAGGAGTTATATTTTGTCATTTTTCAAAAATGGACTTAGCATGAGCAGAAGATGAGACAGAAGACCATGCAGAATATTGTTTTTCACACAAGGCAGCTGACGGCTCCATATAAGGTCAGAGAAATGCGTGTTTGTTTGTACTGCGGAGCGGCCCAGTCTGGTTGCTTTCACACTGTACTCGAACCGCTCTGGAGTTCGCTTCTACCGGACCGAGACCTAGGTTTTAGCCCGGGCCAGAGTTCGCCTTTTTGTTCCGTGACAGAGTTCGATGGTGCGTTCACACCTCCCTAAATGAACCGGACTTTCTAGTAAAACGAGCTAGAGTTCGGTTAAAGCGGACTAAACAGGGCTGGTGTGAATGCACCCTTAATATATATGTAAATAATAAAATAAATATAACACTGATACTTTGTGGATTTTTACCTATCATGGGATCTCTGAAATATAACCTCCACGATAAGTGAGGAATCACTGTGAAGCAAAACAAAACAAAAATTTGCTAAATGTTAGCAAAAGCTCCAAGTAGCAAAATGCCATCAAAACATAAAAGTAGTAAATTTTTCATTAAAACTTAAATACCAACTAAACTAGCAAAATTCTAGTTAGATATAACAAAATTTTCAATTCAATTCAGTTTATTTATATAGCACCAAATCACAACAAAGTTGTCTCAGGGCACTTTACAGAAACATTCCCATACATAAAAGCATATTAGTAAAGTTCTCTATCTAAGGAATCCAGCAGACAAGTTGAATCTTGGCTTCGTTGCAGTCTCCAATCCTGAGCAAGCACAGTGGCAACAGTGGAAAGGAAAAACTCCCTTTTAAAAGGAAGAAACCTCCAGCAGAACCAGGCTCAGGACAAGCGGCCATCTGCTTTGACCGGCTGGTTTGAGAGGACAGGAAGGAGAGACAGACGAACACAGAATGGTAGGTCCAGGTATAGATCCAGGTGTACCTGAACGACAAAAATACACATGTTAAGGATAGAAAAAATAATTACAAATACAAAACAGGTTGAGCAGAGTAAGTAAAGACAGAATTAGAGTGAAAATTGTGGTCAGTTTGTCCTCCAGCAGTCTAAGCCTATAGCAGCATAACTAAGGGACAGCTTAGGAAACCCAAGCCGACCCAAACTATAGGATTTAGCAAAAAGGAAAGTCTTAAGCCTCGTTTTAAAACTGGCTTATGTGTCAGCCTCACAGACAGAGATTGGAAGTTGGTTCCACAAGAGAGGAGCCTCATAACTGAAGGATCTGCCTCCCATTCTGTTTTTGTAAATTCTAGGAACCACAAGTAAACCTGCAGCCTGAGAGCGAAGTGCTCTGTTAGGAAAATATGGAACAATAAGATCTGTAATATAAGATGGAGCCAGGTTGTTGAGACCTTTGTAGATTAGAAGTAAGATTTTGAATTCTATTCTGGATTTGACAGGGAGCCAATGGAGAGAAACTAAAACTGGAGAAATATGATCTCTCCCACTAACTCCATTTAAAACTCTGGCAGCAGCATTTTGGATCAACTGAAGACGTTTTAAGGAAGTATTTGGGCACCCAGATAATAAACCATTGCAATAGTCCAGTCTAGATGTGACAAATGCATGGACCAGTTTTTCTGCATAATTTTTAGATAAGATATTTCTAATTTTAACGATATTAAGCAGGTGGAAGAAGGCAGTTCCAGTAACATTTTTAATGTGGGGGATAAAAGACATGTCCTGATCAAAAATAACACCAAGATTTTTAACATTAGAACTGGAGGACAGACTAATTCCATCTAAGGAGGGAGAAAGACTGAAAAATTCCTTCCTAAGGTGCTCAGGTCCATAAACCAAAACCTTAGCCTTGTCTGTGTTCAACAGGAGAAAATTAAGGGTTGTAGTGAACTAAGCCTCAGGTCAAATCTGGCCTTGAGGGCCTTCCTGGGACAAGAACTGTATTTCATTGATTTGAGTCCAGAAACACAAGATTAAGTTCATCCAGAGACTTTCTAAGTGTCCTGCACTGATCAATTGAAAGAACACTCTCTTTTTATTATCATTACTATTTTCTTGATTATCAAAGTGTGTGTAGTTCAAACCATTTTTAAATGTTGAAGTGAACTACTCATTTTAAATCAACTGTGAAACAGTATTAGTGATTTTTTAATCCTCATTCAAAGTAGAAATCAAGTTAAAATGTGTTACAAACAAATTATGCATTTTCTGATTTTCTGTCTGAAATGAGCAAGTGTAAGTTGGTCCAAGGTTGGAGACAAACTCAAACAAGTTGTTGGAACGAACTGTCATGTTTTTAAATCCTCTCAGACGTAAATAGAGAAGCTGGCACCTGTTTTCCCCCAACTCGCCTAAACATTTCTCTCGTCTGTCTCAAAAACATCTTCTGTCTGTTCCAAAACAATTTTTCTGTTTTTCTGACTTCTAGAGACCTCTTACGTCACAAAAACACACCCCTGATTAGCTATTTCAGCCAATCAGGACTTCCCAAATGAACCGGAAATAGAACTCTTTAAATGTCGGCACTTCCTAGTTCCAGCCAGTGCGGTGGGAGAGCAGTTCAGTTCGGAGAGCAGTACCGAACAGAAAAGTGCTGGAGAGTTCAGGAGGTTCCAGACATGATCCGAAGTTCTTCCGAGTCTTGTGGGAATTATGCAATCTTCCACATCTGAGTGGAACTCTGACGGACTCACAACTCATGTGAGCCCAACCGAGAGGTGAACGTGTGCTGCACTAAGTACCGTCACTACTCCGGACGTTTCCCAACCATCCTACGGAGACGCTGGAAATGGTAGCGTTAAATGGAACTCCGTACCAGCTGATTCATCTTCAGAGAGGTAACGAGTCGATTTCCTACCGAAGCGTACCGGGGCGAAACTGGGTTCGGATGGAGAGTGCCGTTCTTATACCGACACATAACAACCCCTCATCCATCTTCTCTCTCAATTTTAACTCCTTCATTCCCATTTTTAAACTCTTCTATCTTGCCAGTAATTAATCCAGATATTTTCAGAAATGTCTGTTGGTTTAAAGTTGCAAGGGAAATCATGGCCGTGTGGTTTTCCTGACTGTAAAGCTAATTAATTAAGCTGTTATTGTAATCAATCTTGCCAAATTAATGTAAATGTTTGATGTTAAACTTTGATTCTGTTAATAAATGACCGCATTCATTTGATGGGTCAAAGATAATTAACGTCTCACGTTACATTTAATAATTCAATGCACAATAGAACTCAGTCCAGAAAAATGAAAGAATCCGTTTAATTTATGGATAATATATCACAGATATATGTTCATCTACAGGGTCATCCAGGTTTTTATGTCTTTAAGACATGCTTTTAG